GGCTTCCAGGGGTGTCCATTCCCAGCTGTCCCTGCTCTCAGGGTGGGGGGTGGCTGTGGGACATCCTCTCACACACATACAGAGCCACATGCTCCCGCTGTGCTGGCCAAATACTCCGGGTGCCCTGACTGCTCTTTTTCCCCCAGGATCATACCTACCCTCCAGCTATTCCTTCTCTCCGTATGGGAGCAAGGCATCCGGCAGTGATGACAGTGACAAGTCCCGAGCCAGCCCCAGTGTGAGCTGTAAATCCAGCTCGGAGTCCAAGGCCCTGGACATCCTGCAGCAGCATGCCAGCCACTACAAGAGCAAATCACCCACGGTGAGCATCAGCAGGGCTCTGGCTTCACCCAGCTCTGTGGGATAGTCCCTAGATCCTGTAATGAGGAGGGAGCAGCTCCATTTGTCATGTGGTTTTGCTGTTTCTGCTGCTATGGGGGACCTGCAGCCATGGATTCCAACATTACAAGTCCTTTGGGATGGACCAGCCAAACCTGTGCCCCAGTGCTGGGACATCTGCAGGCCCTGCAGCAACCAGGTGACACTTGTCCTCAGTCCTGGAGCTGGCAGTTGGGATGTGGGCACTGTCCCCATCCCATGGCTCCTCCTGGGCTGAGCTGGGAGACAGAGGTTGGACACAGTGAGGAAAGAGTGGCCCTCAGACAGGCCCTGTGTTCTCCACATGGCTTTTGGCCATCCCACCCCATGGGCAGAGGCAAGAGGGAGCGTCCCGGTATGTGCCCCGGGGTAGCTGGTCATGTCCCTCAGCACGTGTCTGCTTTCTCCTCCCCAGATAAGCGAGAAGACGTCTCAGGAGCGGGAGCGCAGTGGCTGTGGGGTGGTGGGGGGCAGTGGGAGCTGCAGCAGTGTTGGAGGAGCAGGTGCAGGGGAGAGGAGCGGTGACCGGCCCCGCACGTCGCCCTCGCAGCGCCTGCTCTCGACGCATCACCACCACCACCACCTCGGGTACTCGCTGCTGCCAGCACAGTACAACCTGCCCTATGCAACAGGTGAGAGTGGGGCTGGGCTGGGGGGGAGCTGCACCTGCCCTTGGGCCACGAGACCCTCACACTGTCCCCGAGAGCCCTGCCTAGCAGCTGCTGACACCTCTTCTCCCCATAGGTCTCTCCTCCACAGCCATCGTGGCCAGCCAGCAAGGCTCCGCCCCGTCCCTGTACCCGCCTCCCCGGAGGTGAGAACGGTAAGGCTCCGCTCCTGCCGCACCTCCCGTGCCGGGCCGGGCCCCAGGTGCCCGGGATGGGCGCTCACGGGATGCCCTCGAGGGTTTAGGGTTTGCCCGTGGCTGTTGGGGCTCGTGGGAGCTGACTTGCCCTTGGGTCGTGGCAGGATGTGACACACCAGGATGCCCGGGCTGTACAAGATGTGTGACTGGCTCACATGGAGAAGCGCTGGAGACTCCTTTAGACATCAGTTGAATGGTGTTAATTGTACTGCTTGACGTTCCTGCCGTGATCTGAGGCAGACTCTGTCTTCTCCCCTCGTCGGACACACACTGACTCCCCACCCCACCCCTCTTTGGGCAGTGGGTGAGCTGGTACCTGCGGATATATTTATTCTACTTAGCACCAGCACTTGGGGTGGAGGCGACTCACTTGCCTGGTGCATATGAAGAGGAAACAGAAGCACTGAGGTTTCTTGATGAATTTGGGACCCTGCCGTGTCTCTGTGAGCTGCTGCTTCACGATAGGACTGGGGGCAGGCGGGGACTTGGAACATGGGGCCGAGCCTGCCGTGTGACCACAGTCTCAGGAAAGGAAGGAAGGACTGGCTCACAGAGCCTTGGCGGGTGTCAGGGGGCTGGTGTGAGCCAGGTGGGTGGGTGGCAGCCTGGCTGGAGGCAGCTGTGGGGCTCGCCCAGTCCCTCATCTGGTCCTACACCCCACAGCACCCACAACTCTGTGCCTGTGGGCAGGAGCCGCCAGCACGTGGCCAATGGCCAGAGTGGGGCTGGGGAAGCTCTTGGCCTCAGCAAAGCAGCCTCTGCCCTTGGGGGCTGGGGCTCTCTGGGGCTGGGGGCAGAAGGGGACAGAGCTGGGGGCTGTGTCTGTCACCCCACAGGCTGCCAGGGCCCCCCAGGCTGTGCACGGTCCAGACCTGCCTGAAGCTCCTGCCTGTAGCTCCTGCCTGTGGCTTTTCCTTTGGTTTCGGAGCTGCAACTCTGCAAATCCCAGCCTTTTCTCTGCCCCACTGTCACAGCAAGTGCCCCCCAAACCCTGGGGCAGCACATCCTGCTGTTGGGGGGGCTGTGGCTCCCCTTTTCATCCACCTTTTGCTTTTAGGGCAGCTTCCCCAGGCCGCAGGCAGGGCGCAGCAACAAACAAGCACACTTAGGTTCTGCCAGAGGCATGTGGGGCCGTGCTGGTCCCTGCTCCAGCCTCGTGCCAGGGCTGGGGGCACCAGGTCCTGGAGGAAGATGGTCCCCACTCCTGGCTGCTCCCAGCTCTGAGGACAGGGGCTTTCTGGTCCTCTGCCCCCAGCCCCAGAGCGGCTCACCCCAGGCCGACACTCTACCTCGGCCCCGCAGCGGCCGGGCCGCCCCGCCCTGCCCCGCCTCTCCCGCTGCCCGGCCGGGGGACAGGGGCCATCGGTCTCAGTTGTGTGTGTCCGTGTTGCACCCGGCCCCGAGGGCCGCTGTACGGGGATGCTCTGCCTGCTGGGCTCTGTACATACTGTAAAAAGCAATTGTTTGAAAGCTGTTGTTTTGGGTTTTGTTTTCTTTCCCCGTTTCTTCCCCATCCCACTGTACCCAGTTGGAAAGGAGGTGCTGGCTGCTCTCAGCCCGGTTCAGGTGCTGGCAGCACAGTGGCCCCAGCCTGCTCTTGTTGTCTGACTCATTTTTCTTCCACTCTTCGTTGTGTTTGGAAGGAGACGGGGCCGCGTGGCCCGGCACACTCCGCAGGGACAAGGTGGGTTGATGGACCCGCCCCGCACCCGGCACAGAGCCACCCGCAGCCACGGGAGCGGGGACTGGTGGGCTCGGGCTGCGTGGGAGAGCCCCACATCCCACCCGTGGAGGAGTGTCCCGCTGGCTGCTCCTACCTCCAGCCCCGGCCAGCCCGGCACAGCCGGGCTCCCAGCACGGCCGGGGCCCACAGCGGCTCCAGCGGCGCAGAGGAAGTGCCTGGGGGTGTTGGGGGTGCCACAGGCTTTGCTGGCAGGCAGAGGGGCTCAGGGGGCTGTTCCCCACTTTCCCAGTTGGGTCCCAGTTGAGTCTCCCTTTAGGTGTTAAATGAAACAACAGTTTATGCAGAATAGGTTTGAGGTTTGACGTTTTCCGGGTTCTCTGGGCCAGCTGCTGCCCACGGGGCCACCCCCAGCCCCGGTGTCAGACCGTTGGTGTTTATAGCTCGTTTCCATTGGCGTTGCTGTGTTGGGTTTCATTTCAGTCTTCCTGACTCTGCCCTTCTGTAAAGTGTACATTATTACCAAGTTCCTTGTTTTTTTATATATATATATATATAAATATATATATATACAATCTGTACTCTTCTTGCCTTTGTACATTTAGGCAAGGAGGGAGAATAAATCTTTTTAAGAGACAATCACAAACCTGTGAGGGTGGCTTTTTCTTGCTGTTCCCCCAAGTCTGGTCCTTTTTCCCTAAAGAGTGTGGCCAGTTATTTTTGGGGGTGGGAGAGAGGGTTCCCCCCATCTCAGGCATCTGAGTAGGCTCTTGCTGCTCACTGGCTCCTGGATCCACCTCTGCCCAGCACTCATGGCTCTGGTGGGTGCTGCAGCTGAGCTCAAACCTGGTAATTGGAGGCAGAACCCCCCCAGGGCTGAACCCCTGGGCACCAAAGGCCTGCCCTACACCATGGCCTCAGGGTGCAGGAGGTACAGGGCAGAGGCACCTTCCACATTTTTCACAGGTGGTTTTGGAAGGCATTTGGTGATCTTGGAAATCCACATTTGCCCTCCTTTACTTGAGGCAGGATGGGAGACGATTTGAAATTGTCAGAGAAGCACATGCAGTGGCACAGCCTCCAATCTCCAGCACAATGACGAGCTCACATCAGCCTCACTCCAGCTCCTGGGACCAGAATCCTACACGTTCCAGTCACTTTTACCAGTAAGAAGCAGCAAAGTGGTTCCCATCCCATCAGCTGCGATGTGCCAGCCTGGGGCACCATGGGGTAGCAGCCAGCCATGGCACGTGCTGGGACACCCAGGAGTCTCGGGCCAGAGCTGGGACAGCTCCAGCTACAAGAAGGGATAAAACTGCACCCTTCTCAAGCCAACAGCAGCACTCAGCAGTTTCAGCCAGGAACACCCATTCCCAAGGGCTCCTCTTTCAGAGGACAGCCTCTTTGATTTTAAACTGGTAGAGGTCTAATGCCCTGCTGGAGGGAGCAGAGCTCCTTTCCCTCTTGGTTTCATGGAGGTGAAAGAGGGCAAAAGAGGCCCAAATTTATGATTATTTATTCACACACACTCATATCCAGCCCCACCTCTCCCTAACCACTCACCATGGTGGATATGGAGTGATGCAGGTCCAGCTTCCCAGTAGAATAATCCATGAAGGGCAAGGGCACAACAGGAACAATCCCACAAGGAGCCAGGCCAGGAAGAGCTGAGGGCATGGCCCTGGGGCACAGCCCAATTCCCTGGGGCCTGCCAGACAGAACAAGCCCAGATTCAGGGACAGTGCCATGGGACAGAGACAGGGCTGGGCTGAGCCATGACCTACTGCTGGCACCATTGCCCCTTCCTGGAAAAGCCCCTGGGTGGGGACAATATCCCAGCACCTGCCCCCACACAACCCTTTGGTTTGGATACAGCCATTGGTGGCATCTGAAGCCTTGAGCTCATCCCTCTGGGAAGATGAGTAGGAGCAGAGGTGAGGGCTTGGGGTTACTCCAGACCCATCTGGGGTGGATGATAAAGGCAGGAGCTTTTCTTGGCTCTTTGGACCATCCCAGCCAGCATGGTGCAGGTCAGGAAACTGCTCCTCCCAAATAAGCAGCCCCAGGTGTGTCAAGTTCATCTGAATGCCCCTTTTATTGAATGCTGTGATAGTGTAGTGGGAACATGGAACAGGGTTAAGACTGCGTAAAACAAAAGCTGGAAGAGCAAGAAGTTTCAAAAAAAAAAGGAAAAAAAAAAAAGGTTAGACCAGTTAAACCAGCATTGGAGTGGAGATGTATGGGGGGTTTAATGTAGTGTTAAAGGATAAACTTGAGTATCTCCTGCACGTGCCCCACACCAAGCCAGGCTGTTTGTAAGGTCTTGAGTGGGACATGAAGGGGTCATGTCCCAGCTGAGCCCACGCTGGGCGGGCAGGAGGCACCGGTGGGGTTCGGAGGAGTCCCAAAGGGGGTACTGACCCCGGGGCTCCCACACCATGCAGCTGCATGGGAAGAGCTCCTATGCCAGTTCATAAACATCTTCCTTTTCCTAGTGATGATTACATGTGTGATAGATAGTTCTCTAGGCAACATGTTTCAATGAGAGTCAACTCTGGGGATACACAGCCCAATCTAACAATGAGAAATGCGCTTGCAGTCCAACAGAAGCTCTGCTTCCCTCTCCTCAGGAAAGGAGGTGGTCCTCTCTCCCCTCCACAGCATGTAGGGTCCCTCTGGAGTTGCCCTCTGCAGCTATTCTTCATCGGAGGAAGAGCTCTGATCCAGGGGGTACACCATGAACATCACGTCGGGCCGTGACGGGACAGCGGGATGGCCGGGCCGCACGATCTCAAAGCCCAGGAAGCTGAACGTCTTCAGGAGTGGAGCTACCAAAGAGAAGGAGATGTGTTACCACCAGGAATAATCCTTTTTACCTCTCTCTTGAGCCATCAATATCAAACTGTGTCGGGCACCCTCTGTGAGTGCATCCACAGCTTCCTGTGCAGACAAGCACAGCCCTCTCCAGCAGGGGGTTTTGTCTCCTCCTGTGCTCACTGCAGCTGCTCATAAGTGTCAAGGGATTTTAGCTGTGCAGCTGAGCAGCTTTGTCCATGCTTCTCCTGCAATGTTTCTTCTATCTCCTGTGAGAAACAGCAATCATTGGTTGTGTGCCTGCACCAGCTGCACATTCCTGCTTTCCCAGGATGTGGGTGGCCATCCCAGAGGATTTGTCCTGCCCCAGCACCCCTTGAGCACCGAGAGAGGACAGACAGCAGCAAAGAGGAATCTCCTTAGGGACAAGAGAGACATTTGCTGTCTCCACAAGGAGGTGCTGGAGCTCAGTGGAAACTCCAGACAGCTCTGCACAGGTCGGGTGGGACCCCAGGAAAGCCACTTATGGTTACCTGTGGGGATTCAGAGTGGGGCCAGCCCAGACAGTCTCTGTGGCACTGTGCCTGTGTCACTGAAGCAATGGCTGCCCTGTGACCTGTGACACTCACCTTGGTCCCACCCCTATGGCACCCTCAGGCAATCAGCTCCAGGACACTGAGTGATAATACAGAGGAGCTCCTGAAGCTATTTTCTGGCAGCACTGAATTTCAGCTGCATAGACAAGGACACAGGATCTGGACCACTCCAGAATTACAAACAACCCCTGGCATTGGCTGTCCCCTGTCCCCAGCCTCCGCAGGGGCCACCTATGCAACCGGTGCTAGTGGTGACATAACAGCCAGGACTTGATTTGGAAATTATTCTTGGCATGGTAATGAGGGATGATGACATCTTCCTGGGCTCAGCTCAGCTTTACTAAGGCCCTTTGTTTCGGAGAAGCTGGGACAGCTCATGAGGCTGCAGAGTAAAATTAGAATTGGGGTTGGAATTACTCAGTAGGATACAGCCTGACTCTGGTGGGATTTACAGTGACACGTTCCCAGCCTGGTACATCCCCCAGCCCCCCAGGCTGTAATCCCTCACCCAGCACGTCTATCTTTAGACCCTAATGCAGCCCCCAAAGCCATAAGTATCTCAAGCTAGGGCCAGGATTACCTGTAAGCCTGGAAAGGACAGAAGTGCCAGGAGATCTTTAAAAAGCTGATGAATTTCAGGGCAACAGGCTCTAAGTGCTTGTTTTCTATCTAATAACTCCTCCCTTTCACCTTCCATGTCACAGCAGCCTTGTGCCAAACAGAGACTTCACTGCTCACCAAAAGAGGGAATAGTAACTGACACTGGATGAAAAAATCACCCCAAATCATTCAGGAACAGCATTTTGCACCAGAGTATTTAATGGCAGTGCAGCAAAGCAGATGAACGGAATCCCATGGAATCCCAGACTGGTTTGGGCTGGAAAGAATCTTAAAGCTCATTGAATTCCACCCCACTGCCATGGGCCAGGACAACTTCCACTGGACTAGGCTGCTCCAAGCACTATCCAGCAGATCTGCTGGAGAAACCGCAGCACTCCTTCACCCTTACTCTCCACACAAAACTATTCCTGTAGGAATTATGCACATAACAATCCCTGCACGGGGAGGGTCCCGTGGGTCTTGCCCTGGGATGACCAAGTTTCTTTACAGCCTCAGCAGCACCGTGTGGGATGTCAGGAGCAAACCCAAGCACAGACCAGCCCTCACCTCGATCTTCTCTGCTTTTTCTGAAGCAGATGAAGACATAGTTGACTTTCATTTTTTCTTCAGCAAATTCCAGCAGTGCTGACAACCTGCCAAGAAGGGAGAAGACAAAAGGACATCAGCTCTGGGAAGTCCTGTCCTGAGGAAGCCTCTGAGCATTATCAAATTATCAACTGTTTGGATGATTTCGGACACAAAGATTGTTTACAGCGCCCTTCCAGCGAACAATGGGTGCTGAAACAATGGGCTTCCTGCCCTGCAGATTCAAGAGCTGTCCTTGCTCCCAGTCAGGATAAGTTCCTGTCCTCACAGCCACAAACACCCTCCCCACCCGTGGTGCTTTGGGACTGAAGCCTTCGTGGTCAGGAAGCGGAATATCGCAGCTGCTCCCAGGCCAGGCTGCATTCCCTGGCAAAGCACATGGGGGCTCTGGGAGTTCTGTGCTTTTTGGGAAGGAAAACAGCCCAGAACCGAGCTCATGGCAGGCAGAAAAGGAGAACAAACCATCCCCAGAGAACACATGCACAGGCAAAGCCATTTCCTGAGCTGGATGGCACAGCTGCTGCCCCCTGAATCCTCGCTTCCTGCCTTTCCAGCTGGATTATTTCTGCCACCTCCTGATGGAAGCAGTGCTGCAGGAACCCCTCTGGAGCCTCCAGGGTGGCTCACTGATCAACTGCTGTCACTTGGAACCGCTGGCACTGCCAGAGCAGTGACAAACAGGCCTTCACTCCACATCTCAGTAACCAGCTGTCAGTGCAGAGCAGGAGATTAAATTTGCAAGGCTTCTGTTAATATGTTAATGAACTACTTTAATTATGGCTTCTGGCCTCTCCTCGGCTGTTTCACCCAGCTAAAAATAACCTGACAAAATTGTGCTTTAAGTCACAATGACACTGGCAAATAAATCCCCTCCCAGAAGGACCCATTCCAGGGAGAGCCCAGAGATTTACGGGCCAACTGGAGAAACTACACAAACATTTATCTGGACTCAGAGTCAAATGAGACAAGTGTGAGACAGCAACAACACTGCCACTTCCTGAAGGTGCCCAGCCATGGGTTTTTCCTTGATTAGCTCGTGTCACTGAGGGATGAAGCCTGCTTGGAGATTTAGGAGGAGCTGAGGAATCCAGCAAAGCCACATCTACACTGCAGCAGAGACCTCTGGCAAAGCACTTGGCAGGAAGGAGCTGCTCTGGAAGCTGCATTTACACAAACTTCCCATAGCAGAGCTGTCTGGACAAAACATGACCGGATTCTGCCAAGAGAAAAATCAGAGCTCCTGGCAGAGCCCAGCACCAGCACTCCAAGAGCAGATCCACCTACTGAGGAGGAGAGCATCAATAGGATGGAGGGGTTTTTAGTTCCCTGAAAGAGAGGAGAATTGCCAAGGTAGGCTTGCCAAGTGGCCAGCAGAAAAATAAAATTAAAAAATAACAAAATATCAGAGTAAATCTTATTGGCTTTCTATACCAAAGTATACAAAGATTCACTCTGCTCATTTATTCCTTGTTTTTCACTGGGCTTGGGACTCAAAAAATGTAACTCATCTGGAATATCACTGGGGGGAAAATATTCCTATGGAGGACTCCACAGACCAGGGAGCAGAAATGTGCACAAACCACAATCAGAGCTGCTATTGCACAGCCCATTTTCCCCTCACACAGCATGGAATCCCAGGATGGTTTGGTTTGGAAGGGACCTTTAAGCATCTTGTTCCAATTCCTGCCATGGGCAGGGACACTTTCCACTAGACCATGTTGCTCCAGGCTCCATTCAGCTTGGCCTGGAACACTTCCAGGGATGAGGTGTCCATGCAGAATCATTTATGTAACCCAAGTCCTGCCCTCCAGGAGCCATGGCTACACCTCTGGGATCCAGAACTTACCCTTCTTTGCTTCCATCAGCTAATAATCCATCAGGGATTTCCACAAAGAGGCTCTGGTTTGAGAGCACTGCATCCCAGGAGGAGGTCTTCACCTCTGTGACCTTGTACTGGAAGTGGACAATGTGAGGCTTCCCTTCATGCACTGGGACATCTTGGCTAACAGTGATCTTCTCATCCTGGGAAAAATGAAAAATGTAAAGTCCTGAACAGCCAGAAGACAACTGGAGAAAGCAAATGCAAAGGAATAGTCTTAGGGTTTTCCTGAGAAGAGGATTATGCTTTTCCCTTCTCCTTTTGCTGGCTCAGGGACACATCACACAGTTCTCAGCCCTCAGAGTGATTTCTAGCCATGTTTTCCTGTTAAGGAATGTAGTTTTACATATTGACATGATATTAAATTTCTGAGTAGAAGACTCCACTCCCTCACTGCAGGCTCCAGCCACATCTGGTGGTGCTTCAGGAATTGCCCTTCCAAGAACACAACTGGACCCAACACCAGACACAGAGCTTCTGCTACCACAGCCCAGCCAGGTTGGGTGCCTCCCCCATCCCCAACACAGCCTTTCTGTTCCAGGAGTGACCACAAATTGCTTTCCCAGATTTTATGGTTTGCCTCCTGGTGTAAAGGAGGAAAACACAGAACATAGGGAAATTCCAGAGCAGATCTGAAGCTTGTGAGGAGGTCTTCTCCAGAGACCACAAATGCACATGTCCTTCCCCAGTCCTGCCCCATGAGGATGCAAGCATGCAGATTACTTGGGATCAGCTCAGCAGTTCCTAGAAAACAATTCAGTGGTTAAAGCCCCATTCCTTCAGACAATTCCTGCAGGCACTTGGCTTGCCCAGTAATGATTTCCATGTTTCAGTGCAAAGAGCCCCAGTGAAAGAAGCAGAGCCCTGAGTTAACGCTGTTACTGCAGTGGAGCTGAACTGTCCCCTGTGCTTGGTGACAGCTCGTGTGTCCCTGTCCCTCACATTCCCAGGCACCTGGGCAGCTCTGAAGGGGAGACAAAGCAGATACCCAAAGTCATGAGAGCACCTGGAGAGCCATGTGTCCCTCTATCCTCAGCAGGTGGGTGGGCAGTGGTTCCCTCCTCTGGGTCATTGGGTGAGCGCTGTCCAGCCTCCAGATATTTTATTTTAACAGGGTGATTAATTCAGCAGCTCCTTACAAGCCCTTACAGGCTCCTCAAGCCACTGTCCCAGTGCTTTAATTCCTATTACCTCCTGTCTTAAAATAGCTGCCCCTTGGTTTGACTACTGTATGACAGAGAAGCCTCTGAGGACATTCACACTGGTGACAAAGTCATACCATGTGCAAACTGGGAGCTGCTTGGCCTCTGAAAGCTGAGCAGAGGAAGTTGCCTTTCATTGAAAGCTCACAAAGCTGAGCTGAAAAACAAGTTTACACTTCACCAGAATAAATATCCTGTAGGAAACAAGTTTATTCATTGAGTTTGAAGGAAGTCTGAGTGGCTGAGTGCACCAAGAAATGCACTGAGAGCTGCTCCAGCGAGGTCAAGTTGTGGCTGTGATGAAGCCAGCAGAGAGAGGCAGGGCTGAATACAGAAGCTCTTAAGAAAAATCCAAGGGGCTTATATGTATATCCTCCAGCAGTGACTTTACAGGACCCTGTACAGGTCTTGTTTCAGTGCAGAAAGTGTCTCTGTTCCAGAAAGCATCCTTCTCTCCAGAAAAGCTCACAGATCATGCTCTTCCCATGCTCACAAAACTAAAACTGGGTGAGGAAGATAAGGAAAGCAGGCTGGGATTGACACATGGGAGGTGTGCCTTTGAGTGGGAAGACTGGCACTGCCATTGTGAAGGGAAAAGCATTCTGAGCCCTTTGGTTCAGAACTTCCTTGTCACCAGAAATTATGTGCAGTGAGATTGTTCCACTGAACCCCCTGTGACAGCCCAGCAGCCAAAGGCAGCACGACCACAGGGATTAGCAGAACCAGTTCCCCTGGTTCAGTGGGAATTAGGTTTACACAGCCTGGCTGGGCCAGCTGACACTTTATTTCTAGGCATCCAAACAGAGATGCTGGGGAAGAGAAAAGCTCTGTGGGCTGCTCCTGTGAAGCAGCAACAACAGCCCAAAATTCTTTGGAAGCTGCTCAAAGCAAAATCCTGTTTACACAACAAGCACTCGGTTTTAGTTCACCCTGGAAAAATCCCCACACAAAATCCCCCTGCCATGTTCCTGTGGATAAAACCCCCTGCCACTAGAGTGGATTTTACCCAGCTGCCCAAACCCTGGCTCCCCAGCCCTGCAGCTCCATTTCAGCAGTGCAAAGCTGCAAGGACTACTTCCACTTGGCTCCAATTCACTGAGCACAAGACTTCCCAGCCCTGCTCTGCTCCTCAGATGTCCCAGTGAGGATGGGGGGAGGCCCTGGTGTGTTGGCAGGGTCAGAAGGAAGGATGTTACAATCCACCCTGGCCAAGTGGCTGGAGAAAGCTGTGGAAGCACCCACTGCTGCCATGTGCTACACCTGCAGCCTCCTGCCAGCTCTGCCAGCCAGGGCACATCTTAGCTGTGCAGCACCCACACCAGTCACTGTGGCATTCCCAGCTCCAGCAAAGCTCCCTGGATGGAGGGCTGAGCTCAAAGTCTCTTAACACAAAAATTCCAACACTTACAGGGAGCCCCAGTTTATGGCAGCGGTGTATCTGAGTGCTGCTGGCAGAGGCAGGTGTGTTCAGAAAGGTCATCCCTTGGACTGGAACAGCTGATACAGCTGGAAAAAGGACTTAAACTTTCAGATCCAGATGCCTTTGCAGGTCATGCTGGTGGCTGCTGGCTGGAAAGCTCAGCTGCTGTAACTACAGCACTGCCAGACTGAGCAGGTGACCGAGGGGACAGACAGAACCCGGCCACCATTCCAAGGTGTGACACACCTCAAATCCTGGGGTCAGTTCTGGGCCTCTCATGCCAGGACAGACATTGAGGGGCTGGAGCATGCCCAGAGAAGGGAACAGAGCTGGGGAAGGGGCTGGAGCACAAATCTGATGAGGAGCAGCTGGGGGGCTCAGCCTGGAGAAAAGAAGGTTCATGGGGGCCCTTCTTGCTCTCTACAGCTCCTTGACAGGAGGGGGCAGCCAGGTGGGAGTTGTGCTCTGCTCCCAGGGAACAAGGGATGGCATGAGAGGAAATCACCTCAACCATTTCCAGGCCAGAGCAGGTTGGGTATTAATGTTTTCACTGAAAGGACTGTCCAGCCCTGGCAGAGGCTGCCCAGAGGAGTGGAGTCACCATCCCTGGAGGGGTTTAAAAGCTCTGTGGATTTGACACTTGAGGACATGGATTAGTGGTGAACATGGGCAGTGCTGATGGAAGAGCTGGACTCAATGACCTTAGAGGGTTTTTCCAACCCAAACTACTCCATGAGTCTTTGCTACAGAAGGGGCTGATTTTCTTACAGATTCTGCTAGCTTTGTCAAGCAATAAATCCAGGAGGAATTCCATCCATATTTCTGGGATGCAGCTATCTGGATGACATCCTCCCTGCCTACACACCACTGCCAAAATCTGTGCAAGTTTGGGGCTGTACTGGAATCAAAAACTCCAAAGTCTCCAAATCATGATTCCTTCCACCTTCCTCCTCCATACTGTGCCCATTTTCTGCCTCTGGGCCTTGCCTGGTGCACACACAAGGCTTGGCAAAGCTGGCTGGCAGGAGTTCAGGCTGCAGGGTCTCATTTCCCACCCAGAGGGGATTCATTACTTCTCCTGAGCCCACCTGAAGCTGGTTTTGTATCTTCCTTCTGTGACAGGAAGCCCATTGTGCTGCTTCTCTGGACTTTGTACCCCCAAACATCTGTGACAATTCACCTTGAGCATGAATCTGATGGGACCTTCTCACTGGAGGCTCAGAGGTTGACGTTTTGCAAGGGAAGCAGGTGAGGAAAGTGCTGAAAACTCACCAAAGGAAACTCTGAAAGCAACCACGAGGTTGTGATTCTCTCAGGAACTCCCAAGGGAGTCTTTGGGAGCTGATACAGGCCCAAAAGGGTCTGTATCTTTTCATCAGGTGATGTCTGTGTGTCGCCCACGGGTTAATTAACAATCAGGTCTAACACCTATGACAACACCCCTGGCTCAACAGCCAAATCTGCAGGGTCAGCATAAATTCAGTCTGCCTCATCTAAAAGGAAAAGCAGCCCTTGTCCCAGAAAGGAGACAGATCTGAGCCAAGGCACACAGATCACTCTACAGGAAGGATCAGGTCTCCTCATTCGAAAGGAGAGGTCCCATGGAATGAAGAGGAACACAAAATGAGGCAGCTGCAAGCCTGCAGACACAAACCCTTGCTGATCTTCCCCTGCCTGTGCTCATGTTCTAGAAACAGCCCTGTCTGGGAGCTGCCTCTCCCATCTGCACCTTGGTTCAGGCAGCTCCCAGGTCCTGAGAGCTTCACCCTCCAGACCAGGGTGCAGGAAGGAGCTTATCAACCCCTCCCTTGCTGCATTTCACCTTTCTGCTTCTCACTTCCTTTCTCTGCCAGGCATTTCAGAAGCCCTTTCACGTTTTGATAATGCAGGCTCCACGTACAATAGCTGCAGCAGGCCCCTGGGGACAGGCTAGTGAACGATCTGCTGCACAATGGTCTCTCATTTCTTAATAAACAGGTGATATTTAAGCAGCAGAGACCTGTCTGCAGCTCAGTCCCTGAAAAATTACCTGTTCTCCCACTTATTATCTCAGAGTTCTTTGCATTTATTCCCACCAGACTGTGAAAGGAACTGAACAGAGCTGTAACACAGGTAGAGGTGAATGTTTAGATGTGAAATGTATCTCACCTTATATATCAGAGCTGAAAGAGAAGGATCCCTGCCACCCCCTCGCCCACCGGGGATCTTCGACAGTGGGTGAGGGGCATCAGGAGCACCACAGAGGCCCTGGAACGATGTGCCTGCAGCACTGCAGCTGGGGACAGTTACTCAAAGGTAAAATACTACTGCAAGAAAAAGAGAGAGAACACCCTGTTACATTAGCAGGGATCATGTTTTGGAGGCTCCAGCTTCTCAAACCCCTACATCATTTGTATCCTTGCTCCTCCACAGCACCCAGATGTCAACACAGAAAGCACCCAGTGCCCCAGTGGCACCAGAGCCCAGGGTATTTTGTTGGGAATGGAGGAGGGGCTAGAGCCAGGAACCCAGAGAGTGCTGAGCAACCTCATGCTAATAAGGGAGGCCTGGAAGGCTGCCAGGAGCAGATGGCTGGGAACACATGACCAGATGAGCACACATTTTCTAGAGGCAAATATCTACAAATAGATCAACAGGGCCTAGGAGGAGAAGGTTTAAGTTTCACATTTTCAAACCCAGGAGAAATGAAAGGGTTGGTTCTTCAATACCCTCCACAATGTCCATGGCAGTATTTTCACACACACATGAAGCACCATGCAAGCTTCCTCCACCCCACCCTAAAAATTACTTGTTCACCCCAGGAACTACTCTGAACAGCAAGAAAACACATTTCCTTTGCAGTTTCCAAGTTTGTTTGGAAGTTCTACACATGGTCCTCCAGAATTGCTTTGGACACAGCCTTTAATACCTGCTCTGATTTTTAGGAAGCTCATCAAAGCAAATTATTTTACTTCTGAAGCCTTGGTTCCTCTCTCAGCAGTACAAAAGCTCTGTGCTGAGGCCCAGCAATGTTCCTTTAGCACAGCCTGGAAAAGGCATGCAGGGAAAACAGTCCTTCTCCAGTGCTTCCATTCTGAAACACACCAGCACAAAGCTATGGAAGCACCACCAAAACAACACAGGGAGGGGGGGTTTGTGAGCACAGAGCCAGGAATGAGGCTGAAGGGGATAAATTCTGCAGCTGTTCTGACAGCCACTGTCTGCCCTGAAACTTCTCACTTGAAGTGCTCCCAATGCAGTGTTTTTCCACTCTAATCCCTGTCCACGAGGCAGACAGGCTGAAGTATCCAAACAGAGCTGCACTGTCAGAACCACCTCAGATGCCTAGAAACAGGGAATCAGACTGGGCTGGGCTGGGAAGGACCTTAAAGCCCACCCAGTTCCACCCCCTGCCACAGGCAGGGACACCTTCCACTAGACCTGGATGCTCCAAGCCCCATCCAACCTGGCCTTGTAACTTGCCTGTGCCAGCTGCAAACAAACTACTACAAGTTGGCATTTCTGAGTGCCAAAGACAACTAGCAAATGCACAAGGCAGAATTCACCACGGATCTCTGCTTATCACCAACCATCAAAGCATCTTTCTACAGGAAACACGAATATTCTTCCTCCACATATTCCCTCCCCCAGGTTTGCTAGAGGGGGGCACTGGGCCAGCATTCCCATGAGCTAGAGCAGGCACCTCTTGGAGAAAAAGCAGTTTAAACACACCAGGAGATGTCTGGGAGCAAAGCAGGGTGTTCTGTGCTCCCTGGTGTGCCTGGGGCTATCAATGGGCCAGTGTGTGCTCAGTAGTAGAGGATGTGAGAGGATGACAAAGCACTTTGTGCCGTCCCCACCCCCGAAAGCTGTTGGCAGCTTTGTTATTCCCTTCCCTCCTCCCTCTACCCTCCAGCCAACAATGATAGCTCTTTCCAACTTGCGGCCAAGGCATCGAGAAACTGGATAATGAAGTGGAGTTGTGGGAAAAAAAAAAAAAAAATTAAGACAGAGAGGCAGCCAAAGACACTTCCCGGTTTCACTTCCTCTGGCACACGCAGAAGTCAAAACACCAGCCCCCTTCAGCTGCTGCCTGCCTGCACATCCCTGGCCCAAACCTGCACACCTCCACTATCCTCCCCCAAAATCAGGGTCCCTGCACACCACCACTACCCCCACCAAGGATTGGGGTTCTGAGAGCAGCACCCTCAGGGAAGAGAGTGCGTGTGGGGCACAGATTAAAAGGGCTTTTGCTTTCTCCAGCTGTGCTTCAGCTCACTGGGAGGAAATTCATGCAAACACCCAACAACATCTGATCCCTTCATCCGTCCTTGCACAAACGGCAACTCTCCCTGAGGTCTGTTTGTGGCTTAAAAGTTGGGCTTGTGCTGCCTTCTGACGTCTGTCCTCCTTGGAGAAGCTGCTTTTCTGCAGCTTGGTAGAAATTAAGATGCATTTAGATCACCAAGGCCTTTCCGTGCAGGAACTCCTCAGTACAAGCTGCTCGTCTGTGCCCTGCCCGAAAGGGGGGCTGGAAGTCGATGTTAAGCTCTCATCCCGCGGGTGTAATTTTAACTCACTAAGCTCCCAGCGATCCCAAGCCCGTGCCCTGTCCCTGGGAAGTGCAAAGGGCAGCTCAACAACTTCAGAACCCCATCATCACTGCTCCTAGGCAGCCCTGGCACACAGAGCCAGGCTGAGAGCACCACCAGCACATCGGGGGCTGAAATCGACACCTTTCCTTGTGTTTTGGGGGTTTTACTTGTTTTGAACACTTAGACCAGATGGAAGGATCTAGAGAGCTCTCCTGACGTTGGAGAAATGACTGTTTTGTTTGCTTTCCTTTCTGCCCCTTCCTAAAACAGGCGCTGGAGATGCAGCTGCACCTGAATAATAATAATAACGCTAATAACAACAATAATAGGAACAATTATTATTACATTATTATTATTTTGCTGGACACATATCCAGGAGCCCGATTTGAGGAGTAAATTGTAAATAACCATCTGATGAATACAGCACAGCTCAAGCAACTCCCACACAGGCAACGGGCAAGAACCGAGGCTGCCCCATACGCATCCTCTGGGCTCTTATCGGCGACAGAGGCGCAGGAAATGACACTCTGGGGACTCCAAACAAGGAACACACACACAACATAAATCGGTCAGCTGAGGAAAACACACCGATCCTGCAAGTTCGTGCCTGCTGACACCCAACCTGCCTGGAAAAGCACCTTTCTCCAGGCAGAGAGAGGTGCGGGGGGCGCGGGGAGGGAGCGCTCGGACCCCGCCGCGGCCAGGGCTGCTCAGCGAGGGGTGCTCAGGCCCTGGCGAGCCCAGACCCACCCCGGGGGGTTCCTCCAGGGGGAAGCAACGCCTCGATGGGGATTTTAAACGGGGAAAGGCGGAGCGGCCTCCCCACGTCCCGCGGCCTCCCCGCCGCCTCAGCGCCCGCTCGCGCCCCAGGCCCGCCCGCCGCCGCCGCGCTGAGGAGCGAGGGAGGGCGGGGAGCGCGCTGCACACCTGTCCTGGGTGTTTATCATCGTGCGCTCGCTCCGGTGCGGCTACGGTGGCTGTCGGCGCTGCTGGCGCTGGTGCCCGGCTGTGACCCGGCTGTCCCCTCCTGCTCCGCTCCGCTCCGCTCGGCGCCGCGCTCCGACTGACCCCGCGGGCCCGCGCGCCGACACGCCCCCCGCGCCGCGCGCCCCCGGCCCCGCCCCCGGCCCCGCCCCGCGGCGCGCGGGCAGCCTGGGAACTGCCGCCCCAAACAAAGGCGCGCGCCCGGCCGCGCCCCCGCCTCGCACCGCCCCGCGCCCGTGACGTCGCCTCCCCGCGCGGGCGCGCGCGCCTGCTGCGTCCCTGAAGGGGCTGAGGGGGCGCGCCCGAGAACGCCGGCTCTGCCCTCCTGGTCACCCACAGGGCCCTGGATCTGCCCTCAGACTCCTGTGAGTCATCCACAGGGCCCGGCTCTGCCCTCAGGCTCCTCCTGGTCATCCACAGGGCCCCGGCTCTGCCCTCCTGGTCATCCACAGGGCCCTGGCTCTGCCCTCAGGCTCCTCCTGATCACCCACAGGGCGCCGGCTCTGCCCTCCTGGTCACCCACAGGGCGCCGGCTCTCGCCTCAGGCTCCTCCTGGTCACCCACAGGGCCCTGGCTCTGCCCTCAGGCTCCTCCTGGTCACCCACAGGGCGCCGGCTCTCGCCTCAGGCTCCTCCTGCTCATCCACAGGGCGCCGGCTCTCGCCTCAGGCTCCTCCTGGTCACCCACAGGGCCCTGGCTCTGCCCTCAGGCTCCTCCTGGTCATCCACAGGGCGCCGGCTCTGCCCTCAGGCTCCTCCTGGTCACCCACAGGGCCCTGGCTCTGCCCTCAGGCTCCTCCTGGTCATCCACAGGGTGCCGGCTCTGCCCTCAGGCTCCTGGATCTCCTCATGGTCTGGTTCTCCCCAGGGCTCTGGTTCTCCCCTCAGGCTCCCAGCTCTCCTCGTGGTCTGGTTTTCCCCAGGGTTCCAGTTCTCCCCTCAGGTTCCCAGATCTCTTCATGGTCTGGTTCTCCCCAGGGCCCCGATTCTCCCCTCAGGCTCCCAGATCTCCTCGTGTGCTGGTTCTCCCCAGGGTCTCAGTTCTTCCCTCGGGCTCCAGGCTCTCCTCATGGTCTCCTTCTCCCCAGGGTCCCAGTTTTCCCCTCAGCTCCCCGCTCTCCTCAGGCTCCCGTTTATCTCCTGGGTCCCAGTGCTCCCCATGGGTTCCCAGTCCTCCCCTCAGGCTCCCTGTTCTTCTGGGGCTCCTGGTTCTCCCCCAACACCCCTGTGGGGCAGGTCTCAGGGAGTGACAAGGCCCAGGCAGGAACAGGGGCAGAGGTGGGAGGAGAGGTTGGGGAAGAACAGGGCTGAGGAATGGGTAGTGGAACCACGTAGAAGAAGCCATTGGTGCCAAGGTAAGAGATTGGGAAGAGATTCCTCCCTGTGAGGGTGGGGAGGGCCTGGCACCCAGGTTGCCCAGAGAAGTTGTGGCTGCCCCATCTGTTGAAGAATCCAAGGCCAGGTTGGGCAGGGCTTGGAGAAACCTGTGATAGTGGAAGGTGTCCCTGCCCATGCAGAGGGGTTCTAACTACATGGGATTTAAGGTCCCTTCCAACCCAACCCATCTCCTGACGTGATGATTCTATATCCTGCTTAAAAGTATGTTGCTGGTGCATAAAATGTGACCTGGAATACAACAGGTAAGCAGGAGCCAGCCATAATCTAGGTAATAGGAGCCAGTGTAAAGATTGAACACATGGAAAACAGAATGTGGAGCTGCCTGTGATAGGATTCTGCAGGGGCTTTTGGTGAGCAATGTATCCATGAGAGAAAAGCAATCACACAGCCAAAGATGAGGCTCCTGGAGAACCAGGCAGATGGAAGAACATGTGGGCTTCAGTCCTGCAAGAGAACTTGGTGGGTGCTGAGCCTTCACATGGGGTCAGGGACTGAGCAGCCCTCTGGAAGAGAAGCTCTGGAGTCCCTGTGGCTGCCAGCCCAGCCCCCAGGGTTGGAGTCCTGCAGAGTCCCACACCTGGGCACGGCAGAGGCAGCTCCTGAGTGACACATGCAGCTCCGTTACCCATTCCTCAGCCCTGTTCCCCAACCTCTCCTCCCACCACCTCTGCCCCTGTTCCTGCCTGGGCCTTGTCACTCCCTGAGACCTGCCCCACAGGGGTGTTGGGGGAGAACCAGGAGCCCCAGAAGAACAGGGAGCCTGAGGGGAGGACTGGGAACCCATGGGGAGCACTGGGACCCAGGAGATAAACAGGAGCCTGAGGAGAGCGGGGAGCTGAGGGGAAAACTGGGACCCTGGGGAGAACCAGACCATGAGGAGAGCCTGAGGTGCCGTGCCCCAGTGGGCTCAGGGGCTCTGGGTTCTGACAAGCATCCCTGGGCTGGTGCTTCCCGCTTCCCAGTGCAGCGGTACTGCCCCTTGCTCGGCAGGAAAGGACCAGATGTTCTGCAGAAAGCTGGACATCAGCCAGGGCCCAAGTTCAAACAGAGCCCATTAAATGGCCTTTTCCCCCTTCCTTTGCATTTCCAGCCCTGCTTGAAGCCCTGATTCTATTTATAATGCCCAGGAAAAGCGAACTGAGACTTTCCCACAGTGCTGGCTTCTCAGGCGATTGTTGTTTGGGAAGCTGGAATGTACATAGTATTATTTTTGCATCTCCCTGGGAAGGGTTTTTATTTTTATTGCGTGTCACTCCGTGTCCCCATCTGTGCTGAGGAGGAGAGTGTGTGAAGCACAAGGTGTCTGGTGCTGCTCACAGCCCTCCAATGCTCTGCCACTGCTGGCTGAGGGCTCTGTGCCCATGAGCCCACCCGGGGAGGGTGCTGGGTGCACTGAGAGGTGTCCTGACAAGCCATGAGGATGGAGGCCAAAGAGGGGCATTGCCCTCAAGAAATAGCCCCTCTTTGTTTCAGTGCCAAACCCTGGGATCACCCATCATGTCACAGGCTCTGTGCCTTAGTGTCCCCTGAGTGCGGGGGGGAGAAGACCAAGACCCCTGTTGGGAGCAATGGGCTCATCATTCCTGCTCTGCCTGGGGTTTGGCATCCACACATGCCCTTGTGCACAGATTTGGGGTGGCAGAGCTGCCATATGAGGCTGGGCCTGACAGCCAGGCTGTGGGGTCACTGTTTGTGTGGTGCTGGTGCCAGCAGAGGCCAGCAGGTTCTTTATTTGCCATTCTTGGCCATGTGAGGCTGTTCCCTGCATGGAGCTGCTGTGGGATATTCTGGGCTGCCCCTGAACTCCCGTGCCCCTGGGCAGGCAGGTATTTCACAGAGCAAAACCACCTTGCTTGGACTCAGGTCCTGCCTGTGCTGTCCCTTGTCACTGTCACCTGGCCACACTGCCCACAGTGCTCCTGGCTCTCTCTTCCCCTGCCCTGCAAGGTCCTGCACTGCTCCATTCCCTCTGTGCCTCAAGGCCTTCCTGCCCTCCCCGGGTTTTATCACCCTGCCCAGGATTTTGACAGTAAGAAAAACTGTTGCACTGTATTTTTGGACAGTTTCTTTTTGCCACAGCCAGTCTGATGAAGGACAGACACCTCCAAATAGCTTTACTCTGTCACACTGGCTTCTGGGGTTGACTGTCCCGAATTCTAGATGGAAAACAGATGCAATCTGCAACCTTTCTGTTTTAGAAGCTTGCAAACACTAATTGACCATCTCCTTAATTATTGTGATTAAACGTGGACTGTATAGCTCCTAAAAATACTTCCCATGTGGACAAACTGTGGAAAGAAGTGATCAGTGATTTCCCAGCTAGGGGAATGGAGACTCAGAGCCCCTCTGTGCGTGGAACTGGTGACACTCGTGGGCTGGGGCTGGGCCTGGGCCGGTGGCTGTAGCCTCTCAGAGCTGCTGCCACCAGGACAGAGGCTTCTAGATGGGAGAGAGGCGAGGCCAAGGTGAGATCACTCAGCCACAGCCTGCTGGAGCACAGGGCTGACAGCAGAGACACTGCCCAGATCTTCGGGGCCATGGAGGCAAGGGGGGCTCCTGCAGGACAGGCTGTGCCTCTGTCATTTGCTCCAGGCTCTTCCTTGGCCCTGCCCTGGCCCTGCCTGTGTGTGAGAGAGTTCACCAGCCCAGTGGCTCCGTGGCCATGCAGTCACAGTGGCTCTTGTGGCCATTCAGATAAGGGAGAGAGAGCTGCTGCAGAGGGGAAGCACTGGGATGTTTGCAGCCTTGCCCTGTGTGTGTTCCCCAGGCAGTACTGCATGTGTGCCTCCCTGCAGCAGAGCACAGGCAGCATTGGGGTGTAAAATGGGCATCACATCACACAGACAGCTCCTCAGTACCTGCAGGAGTGCTGCACAGCTGGCTCTGCTTAAAAGTGTTGCCTAATGGAAAACACTTCCACAGGTTTCCAGACAAAGAGGGAAAAGGGTTGGTAGATTTTAGTGTAATTAATAACCTGTAGTTATTTAAAAACATTGTTAGAAATGTGTCATTCAGAACTTTCTAGGGCTGGACATGTACCTGGGGATGTAATTAAGTTTTCAACAGTGCCTTTTCATCCCCCTTCTATGACTGATCCTCCTTTTAATGTGAGGATCTTATTTTCCTAAGGAAAAAAACAAAAATGAACCCTGCCAGAGAATTTTGTTTTCATACCTCAGTCCCAGCCCTTCTGCCAGCTCGGCCTTCCTGTGCTGACATGTCTGTGTCTGTTACAACCAAAACAGCACCAGGAGCATTCCTGGGATTTTGGTTCCCTGTGTTTTGAGGTGAGCTGTGCATAAATTCCCTAAAGCTGGCCCATCAGTGCATCTGGAATTGTCTTGAGAGCCCATCTGTAAATCTGCAAGGTGGGTTTTAATTGTTTGAACAGTCAAATTGGTTGGTGTCTCTCACCTGTGTCTTCGATCTGCTTCACATCTGTAACAACAAATGAGGTTCCTTCCAAACTGTGCTGATCGTTTTCTGCTCTCCCTTTATTATTTCCAGCAGGGTGACTTGATTTCCTGGCAGACCTGCCTGGAGCTGAGGGTCAGATTTAAGGCATGTTGCTGACATCAGTGGCTTTCTTTTTTAATGAGCTTTGTCAGGATTCGTTCTTTAGCCATTAAGTGGTGCCAGCGTGGAGTTCATGCATGAGCTGAGCT